GCCGGGAGCGGCTACTGCACTCCAGTCTGGGCAACAGAGGGAGACTCCAACTCAAAAAAACAAAAAAGAATTAAGGCCACTTCAGTTGTCTGTGCATGAAATTGTGAGAAAACACTAACTTGCACATTTCTTCGTTTCTCAAAGCATGGGGTAAGACACTAGAAGTTTTGCTCTTAAATTTAACCTTTTTTTCCCCTCACATCCAATTGCCCAAATTCATTTCTATTCACACAAAGTATATCGTTTAAAAAAAAAATCACCAAAATAATTAATTATGTAACTTTACTATTCTGGAAATACTCTTTTAAGCCTCCAGAAAAAGTACCTTTCTTATCAACTGGATAGCTGTATTCAAACAGGACAGTGATAAAATAAATACTATGGGAAGAAAATCAGTCTCAAATGTAAAGAAATTAAAATACCCAGTAAAAATCAATGAGTAAGTGAAAGTCTGTATTATCTCAACCTCAAGAATTGTGACTTACAAAAAAGAATAAAACATGACACAGGAGACAGCAGGAAAAGATTCATAGCTTTCCTTCCATTAAGAGTAAAAATTACTAGGTTAGAGTATAAACAAAGTCAATTCCATTTAAAGTTTCAAAGGAAAAAATAAAAACTACTCAGAGAAATGAATCATAAAGTTATATTTTATTCATAAATAAAGGGTATCTTAGAATATTAACATTATTGCTCCACACTCAAAAACTCTAACTTCAAGATAAGAGTCTCATATTGCTTTATGAAGTCATTTTTGGTAAATTCATCAGATCTAAAGAAAACTTGACTTTGTCCCTGAGCTTCCAGGCTGTGTGTAAAACAATTTCCTTGCAATCCACAAGCATTGGATTGCATCCTAATTGCATCATTTGCTCTTTGTTTTGAGGGTACAGGAGATGATTCTAAGGGCAAGGGAGTTGTGCTTAAAAATATTCAGCCTAGGCCAGGCGCGGTCAAGGCTGCGGTGGTCGTGAGCGTGCCCCTGCACTTCAGCTTGGGCGACAGTGAGACTCCAACTCAAAAAAAAAAAAAAAATCAGCCTAATCACAAAATGGAACCACTTCAAAAACAACTGCATCCTGAATTCATGGTTTAAAAAAAAAATCCGAGCCAGGCTCGGTGGCTCAGCCTGTAATCCCGCGCCTTTGGGAGGCTGAGGTGAGTGGACTGCCTGAGCCTGCGGGTTCGAGACCCGCCTGAGCAGGCGAGACCTCATCTCTACAATAAATCAAAAAAATTAGCCAGGCGCGGTAGCATGCACCTGTAGTTCCAGCTACTTTGGGAGGCTGAGGCGGAAGGATCACCAGAGCCCAGCAGGTCGAGGCTGCAGTGGCCGGGAGCGGCCACTGCACTCCAGTCTGGGCAACAGTGAGACTCCAACTCAAAAAAAAAAAAAAAAAAAAAAAATCCAAGTAAGTACAGAAGTTTAGGTTTTCCCTAACATGCAGCCTTTACCAACATGGAATTGTATTTAAGTATAATGGCAGAGACAGTCTGTCTAAAATCTCTATAAAGGGGGAAGAATTCATGGAAAGGCAGAAACTAACCCAATATATAAACCCTACCAAAATACTCACACGTAAAGGTACCACCTCAAACACATTTTTTCATGGGTGAAGATGGTATTAAAAATCTACATCCTTGCCAGGCCCAGTAGCTCACGTCTATAATCCCACCACTTTGGGGGTGGAGATGAGAGGACTGCCTGAGTCCAGGGGTTCAAGACTAACCATCTTGGGTAACTTGGCGAGACCTTGTCTCTATAACAAATCAAAAAAAAAATTGGCTGGGTGTGATGGCACATGCCTGTGGTTCCAGCTACCTGGAAGCTGAGGTGGAAGTACTGCCTGATCCCAACAGTTAGAAGCTGCTGCAGTGGCTATGAGCATGCCACTGCACTCCAGCCTGGGCAACAGAGTGACATTCCTACTCCAAAAAAAAAATAAAAAAAAAAAATAATAAATAAATAAATACATAAATACATAAATCTATATCCCCATCCAGTTAAGGGATCACTTATTATTGAAAGATTTAAGTCCCAAATCTTCATAAGCCCTGAGAGTATTAGTTCATACTGCTATCAGTACAAAAAACTTCTATCCAATTTTAAACATTATTTTTTAGATTAAAAATACAGTTTATTTAAAAAGTAAATTAGAGCTGGGCTTGGTGGCTCAGCTTTTAATCCCGTGCCTTTGGGAGGCTGAGGTGAGTGGATTGCCTGAGCCCGCGGGTTCGACCCACCAGGGCAACTTGGTGAGATCTCATCTCTACAATAAAT